TGCTCCTGAGTGTTCCTCAATGTAAACGGTCTCGACTATTGACTCCAGAACAGCGAGAGATCAACGTAAACAATCCAAAACCGCCTTATATGCGAAACAAATCGATGACGATTTTGTTATCACGATTACCTTCATCCCAGCTAATACCATCCAATAGCGTTATCATCACTGACTAAGAATATAATATGACACAATCAGCAGGCGATTAATATCCCTCCATGGTCTTGTGGATAGTGTCTTGGCGTTTTAGGTCATGGGCACTTGGTTCGAGTACCTCATGGAATAACCACTCATTGGGGTGTAGGTACAGACATGCAGTTCACGAATTTCAAACAGGATGAAGGGTATGTTCTAAAATTTCTTTTTGGTCACTAAGTAGAACTACAACTTATTAGAGATATAATTGACAGAAGTAGTTAACTATGGATCAGTGAACTCCAATCGAATGGTTCAATGGTTGGTGCTTAGGCTGTAAAACCTAAAGGTCCACAGCTCGATCCACGATAGGGTTGTAGGTGCTTACCGCTACAGCATGGGACTTTTGTCCCATGCTGGGACGAAACACCTATCTAATGTTCTTAGTTTTTCAATGATTCCCGAAAATGATATTAATTCATGATGAGAAAAGCACAAGACAGAGATATATGTGTGGCATATCAAAACAACAATCTGATCATATTAAATATGCATGTGATAACTTTCAAAACAGTTTTCCTCTCATGTCAAATAATCAAATAGAGGTGAATAACAGAGGGGGGGGAAAAGTACACAAAAGAATTAACCAATCATTTTCTCCCTTCTTTTACTATACGGGGTAGAGGGAATAGGGAGGGTAGAAAATTATCCATTTTAAGAAGAAACTAGATCACCCCTAAATTCCATTTATAGTCATTGAAGATGGTGGATTAGTGGGTGTCGATTCGATGGTGGCAGTAAAAAATGACAAATTATAAGGGGTGTATAGTCATTTGATTTTCGTTAAACACAAATAAAATTAATTAATTTTTTCAGATTTTAAACCACACATATAGATTCAAAATTTCTAACACAGGATAAGACAACAGATTCGTCTATATGAATATAAAATTAATGAAGTTGAAAGTAGATTTGTGAAGGGGAGAGAAAGAAAAGTGAACATAAAAATTTGTGAAATTATTATTTTCTTCTTAAGGTAATAAATGAAGATTAATTTGTATGATAAATATTATTTCTTGAAGAATAGGCTTTATTTTATATCCTAGATTTTTTCGAATTAAGATTTTAACTACTTATTAGTAGTAAAAATTTGTGTACTAAAAATACAAAAGTCATGTCAGGTTTTCACCTTTCAAGGTCTTGCCATGTATGCTGCCTAATTTACAATACTATCGGAGTTATAACCAATTTTTGTCACTTATAACCTTTGGTGATCGTGGGTTCTCACCATGATCCGTCTACTTGGACCACACATCTCGAATGAGCCAACCTTATAGGAGAAGCATCAGTATTCACGAATTAATTATATTCTACTTTCATTGGGCTGATTTTCAGGATGGAGATTTCTCGGAGTAGTCATCTGCTTAGATTCTTATGAAGGAAAACGAAACGAAGTCTTGAAAATTACATTATAAGAGGTTAATAAATTTCTCTTGAATGGGTATAGCGTTTAGAAATCTAGTTACTTGAGACTGGAAATTGCCGGCCAGTTGTAATTCCTCTGTTAGTGAGTTACATGGTGGAATCCTGGAAGCGCTTTCTCCCTAATTAAGACTCATCAGCTGTACGTATCTGCCTCCGAGTTAGTGGTGGTGTTTACGCCGGGAGTGGAATCTCACATCCACCACTTCAAAGGTCAAAGCGTTATCCACTAAGCCACTGAGTCGCGTAGAACGGCTGAAGAGTGTGAACCAGGGTGAATTACGCATCCTAAGTTCTACTACCATCCATCACTAGGTAAATCATAACAATCAACATTATTCAGGCAACATCGAAGCATTCGCTAAGGAGGTCATATGACAACAGAAGTCCATCAATTCTATTCAATATAACAACATGGAATAGCAAGTATCAACAAATAATAAATCTTGCATTAACAGTTCAAACATTTATGGGTAGCAACCACTCAATTCGCTCTGTCAGTCGTTCCGCCTCAATTCATATTTTTTCCTTCTCTCCTCCCTTCCTCTCTCTCTCTCTCTCTGTCAACAAGTTCTAACCAAGGTACTATTCAGTAGTACCTTGCATTGGAGTCTAAGTTTTGCTTTTCGTTTCAGCCGGGACTCATCTAGTGACTGTGATGATGCAACTAAGCACTTCACCACATGTTTGTCTGACAGACAGTGGGCTAGACCTGTGATTTGACTGGTTCGAACCTACGGCCTCAACAGCACTGGATAACTCGAATTCGAATCTCCAAGGTGACATCAGTTATCTCAAGGTTTCAGATACACCTTACTGACACGTATCAACAAGCGTGAAGCTTAAATGGGGTAGGACTGGCTTTTGATCATCATAGATCAATGAAGGTACGATCAGCCGGATAGATAGGTGATGTTCACTAGCCAAATCTTAGACCAAAGCTCACTGTGTAATCATCAAAGATTCTACGCATATCGATTACTGACTATAATGCAAGAGAGTTGAAGCAATCCAAAAATTTACGTGAAATTACTTCTTGATAAATATCTTTGTTTATTTGAAGTTTGTCAATTAACTAGGTCATGTATCAGTTCCCTAAATGATAAACAAAATAGAAGTGTGAAAGAAAATTTTCGTAATCACTAATTGTCAGGTGGTCAACGGTTTTTTGTCGAACGTTTTGTCAAATTTAGTAACATGATGGCTGTATCACAGTTAATTACTTCGTTTATTTCAAAGCTTTCTATGCATCTTCATATTGTCATTAGATTCATCGAAATAGCGCAATCTCCTTCTTGACACCATGGTATGTTGGTCTAGGCAGTTGACTTGCAGTTGTCAGGTCATGAGTTTGAGCGTTGTCCAAGCTGCTGACATCTGAGTAGCTGAGTGGTACCACTGATTCCATCACAATAGTGTAGTTCTTCGCCTACCACAAGAGTTTGGCGTAAGTTTTCGAGGAACATTTCAAGCGGGTTCATCTCGGGAAGATACGGGACACTTGAATACATTCATCCAGTTCTGTGGCATAACCCCAACCAGAAGGGGAAACCCACTAGGGATCAGAGAATATGGGATGACTGTTTCGCCCTTGTCTAAGACTCTTTACGACACCATCACACATACCTGCTGCCCTAGAAACAGACTTTAGTATGTTGACAACAGTACAGTCTAGTATAATTCAGTAATTACTAAGTTTAAACTCACTAGTTATCTTGTATATTAAAATATGAATGGAAACGGGTGCACAATTCCAGAAGCCAGAAGTTTATCGTTCATTGCTCATTTCTTTTGCAATACTCAGATACTGATCTCTCAGTTACCCTTTCCAATGAAAACTCTTTTTTCTCTGTTTCATTTATGATTACCAGTTTAACTGAAGAAAACTGCTTAAACACCTTAGAGGATTGCAGATTCATTTGTTCGAGTTAGAATTCGCTACATTACAAGGACTCGAACCTAGAAACGCCACGCCTCCGTATTCATCATGCGCCGATATCACTAGGAGAGCCATTGATAACCTGCAGACGACTGACACCTGTTTCGTCCCCATACGGGAATCCTCAGCAGTGCACAACTATAACCTCGTCAGGGTTGCACAGCAACCACGTTTCCATTGGTCTCAGAATCCAGCGCTCCACTGTTTCCTACTTCTATCAACCTGTCATATAGAGCGGTCTTTATCCAGTGTTGTCTCTTACCACCTATCTTCACGTAAATGAATTGGTTCTAGAATAGTTTCTGTCATAAACTGACAATCATCAGATTAACGAGAGTGGAAAGAATAGTTCACCCTGTTGATAAGTCCCCAGCTAGGACGAAACATCTGTCCAGTACTTTCTAGTTTTTATTGAATCCCTAACTATTTTACAAAACGATCGTTCATTAATGTTAAATGAATTTGATTGAAAAAAGTTTAAACTTACTCATCAAATTTCAAGCGAATTCATTGAAAACAACAGGAATTATTCCTATCTGCCTCCTAGGTTCGATTCCCACAGGTGAAAACAGTGAAAAGAAGAAAATGTGCAGAACTTTATAATTAAACTGTCTAAGCTACATATCAATTTGCTTAAATGTCATAAGAAGGAGCCTTATACTTACCTACCACAAAGTAATTATTGATGAAGCCTAATTTTTTTTTGGCTGGCTAAACAACCCACAACGATGAAAAAAAGTATTCTTTATCGATAATATAACAAAGAATTTCTTCACTTTTTCCTGGCCATTATCATATTTATTTTACAAAACTAGCAGACGGAAATAATGGTTGCCATGGTTACCAGTGTATAAGCTTAATTATAACAAAATAATTTTGACATATATATATATATATATATATATATATATATATATATATAAATTCGCAATCGGTTAATGAATAATTGATCAATCAATCGTTATTTCAATTTAAAGGTGGGCGCGACATTTAAAGACAATTTTTAAGATTTTGAAATTCTCAAGAGTATTCTCCCCTAAGCAATCACATACACAGACAAATCAACTCTTTTTTTTCAGTGTATGTAGGTAGAGACAAGTTAGACAGTCAATGTAGTCTACTTTTCTACCCTTTAATATTCATTGATGCTATTAATTGTACTTAAATTACCTTGTCACTCCCCCTTTGTTTAAATGCAAAGATTTGCGCAACATTTAATAACAGCCAATTAAAATGATGTCCTTGTAAAATTAGCTATTTATTTGTTGACCAATCAGAATTAAGGCAAATTAAAGGAGACAATTATGTTGTCTTATATGACAATTTCGCTTGCCACATGGTACCTTTTTTAAAACTAACTTTTGCCACTACAAAATAAATAATTCAGCAACTTTGTTGATAGTATCAGATAATATTTTTATTCACAAACTGATTTCCCTCAAATATGTTACGCAAGCGACCATCATTTATGGTACAGGATATACTACGCGAAACTGATGATAAACCATTGAAACACTGGCAGCTTCAGAGTATTTTCAATTTACAAACAAATGAAGATTTTTTCATCCATAATAGTAACAATAGTGACAACAGCAGTGCAGCCACCACCGCCACCACTACTAATGCTACTAATATTGATGATATTAGTAGTATATGTAGGCTGTATCAGAAGAAAAGCAATATGCTCAATGATCAATATGATAAATGGTGTCCCTCTGAGATTTTAAATACAAACAGTAATGAATGGGATCAACACCCGAATGATGCAAAGCGTAGTGTATTGTTAAATAACACGAAAGATGGAGGTGAGTTATTCGTTAAATGGACGAGCTTTTTATGATGATTTTGTTGAATACTTTATGAAACAAGAGAGTTCGAAGAATTTCATACAGCCTAGTAATAGGAAATTATCAGTATAGCAACAAGCACCAACTGATACCTGTTGTACAAATTATCTCTCTTGCGGATAACGCTATGATGTTTGAAGCAATGGGTACTGGTACTGGCCTCTGGGGGAACACTAGCTGACGAGACACAAATAGGGCGAAACACACGGCCTGGATTCCATTGCTAACCACTATCCATCGTTAATGCCACAAAATGCTACTATTCTAGATAATTGGTGGTCGCTTTTCTAATGGGCTATTCATCTTTGATATGTACTACTAAATAGCTAAATAGTAAGTAGTTAAGAAGCACTCATGCTAGCTTGCAAATTTCGTGGCTAGCCAGATCAGTAGAATGATTTAAACACCGGACAACCGCTTCGATCGATTGCGACTAACTTCTTCAGTAGAGTAACTGGTCAAATCCCAGTTACAGTTAGCTGAACGCGTGAGATGGGGGTGAGGTGGAATGGATAGGTAGATGGTCCAAGAAATAATCAGCCATTCATATGTCCTAGAAGAATGACTTTGAGGTGAGAAATGAAGTAAGACTGAACGGATTAGGCTTCACACAGACACTACTGATATGCGGCATTCGTCATGCTAGCCTTATGAAGCGTGACTGATGTCAGCGGTTGTTACTCTGTTCCAGTGTCGCGTGGTAACTAGAATCAATGTGTTGAATCATTTGTATTGAACCTGTCTGACGTGGATTCAATGAATAAAGCTTCAGTTGTCAATCTCTTTCGCCAACCCCATCAAGTTAGTTTCTATGGTTATCATTCTGTCCTATCCTATTGCATGATTGTGTATGATTGCGCGTAATGCTTTAGCTCAGTTCCTATCTACATTTCATAACTACTGGGGCCTAGTATTCTTTATTTCCCCAAGGTTTTGTGCTTTAGCATTCTAAATGACTCCATTCGACTACTCTGACCTAAGTACTAGACCCCACAACCGTTCTATGGAATTCCAATGACTAAATTATCCTGTCTAGTAGGCTCTGTAGGAACTGCTAGACTGTTAAGGTTGTCTCTTAGTCGTTTTGTCGGTTTAAGTATCACCTTCATTTTAGTTCTATAGAGAATCTTGTGTAAACTTTCTGAGGTACCTTCTTTACATATGGTAACACCGTGGAGGTTTTCAACACCCGTTTCTTGATGTTTCTATGTGGACTGGATAAACAAAGTCGTTTGGCAGATATTAATTTACTTGTACCTAGAATCCAGTTTACTTGTGAACTAGACAGTGACGAAGGGGAACTACTTGTGTTGAAGTACAGAAATGTAGAGGAGACTAGCCGAGGGCTTAGACATCAGTGTCTACAAAGCACCTATGCATTCCAGTCGGTACTTAGACCTCAAGTCATCTTATCCCATGTCAGGGAAAATAGGTAGCATGAAGTGTTTGAACAATAAATGAAAGTAGTAATGAGAGAAAATGGTTAGCAATGAAATCCAAGACAAGCATTTCCTTCTATTTGCGACTCGTCAGGTTTTCGCCAAGAGTTGAACCAGGGGATGATTGTTTCAAACACCAGAGAGTCATCCAGTAGGCTAGTCAGTCATGATAACCACTTCTTGTGGGATGGGTCTTAATGGGAACAACATCACTTACTGGGAGGCATGTACATTCAGCTGACGAGTCCAAAGTGAGACGAAACACGCATCCCAGATTCCACTGCTAGCCACCATCTATCAGTAATATCCGATTTGAAAATCCCGGGGAATATTGAGGCATCCACACAGGAGCCCATATGTCAACAGCGGCCTATCAATTCAGTGCAGCTATTACATCTAAGTGAAGCGACATAACCACAGATAAATTGCCTTTAGGGAATGAGGGTACCTTTGTTCTAAGCATAGTTACAGCTTCAGTCGTTGGATTGCCAACTCCTCTACCATACATATATGACGATGAATCACTACTCCTTTTTAGCTGTATGACTTAATTTTGTATCGCATAATCACTTCTGATTATGTCGTTGCCCCACAGTCTTCTTTCTAATTCCAACACAAAGTCGAGCCAAACGGCTAAAAAGGAGTGAGACTGTGTTAATAGTTGAGTCTGATAATTCAATTCGGTGTCGATTAGGCGCTACTCAACCCAAGAGTCATCATATCAGTCTTTCTCCTGCTCAGTTATTCATTTCACCCTCGAAACCAAGAAAGACTGTAACCTATGGCCAGGTAAGCATCACATACCAGTCGTATGTCGTCGATATTCCGAGAGACATAGTCCAACTCGCCAAGAGATTTGACTGACAGACTGCCATAATCAACGTAGAATCTCACATTGACTCAAGTTGCCACGCTTCACAGTAGTGAACAAAGAACAGGTGGATAGAAAGCGAGTGATATCAAAGTAGACAAAATTGTGTGAGGTCACAAACAATGCGAAGATAACGTTCAGTGCTAATATTCAAGCAGTGAATACATCTGCGACACTGTTACTGATTTTCAGCCTTCTCACCGAGGGGACCCCAACTAAGCAGTCTCCATCTACCCATATAGCTGAGACCAACAGTTAGGAACTTCATCGACTGGTACCATGTCTTGATCTGACTACCCTGAACCCTTTTAAATCCTCATCCAACTCCCTTTATCATGGCACATGGAGGTAGGAAGTGGCTTGACATGTGGAGTACATGTCCAAACCATCTCAGTTGAGTAACGTTCACAACCGTGATTTGCCTGTCTTGCGTAGTACGTTTCATCTGCTCTCAACACTGTCCACGCGGGGATTCCACCATATACACGAGCAACGTTACGAAGCCAACTATGGTCGGAAAATTGTTACTAATTCATGTCTCCTACTTTCAGTATCCAGGCCTCACATCAGTATAAGAGGATAGAACTGACTGTAGTTTGGTATACTCGTCCTTTGATAGACAGTCGAATATCGCGCCGACACTACACGTGACGCAAGTTGGCGAATGCTAAACGGGCCTACTCTATCCCAGCTGAGATTTCGTCAGCAACCAACCCAAGCAAGTGAACTGGTCGACACATTCCACTACTACACTACCTATCATTCAGCTGGAAGTCATTGCACACGAGTCATGGAGCATCATCTTATATTTGACAGGTGCAAAACCCAAGCCAAACATACTCCGATTTCCACTCAAGGCATTCAGAAGACCCTGCGTTTCGTCATTATCTTCACCTAGTAGGACGATATCGTCTGTATACTCCAAGTCAACTAGGTCAATCCATGTGAAGTCAGACGTACCTAAGGTTATGTCAACTAGTACGTCTTTGATGAATATAAATAAGAACGGTGATAGTACACATCCCTGGTGAACAACACTAGTTGTTGTCAGTTCACATGACAACTCTCTATAAGACCTTACACGACTTTGTGAATTCCAGTAGAGAGTTTTGATTAGCGTTATATACTTGCTCAGTACTCCCTTCACAGGTAGACACTGCCATAGTACGTCACTTCCCAGTTAGTCAAAGGTCACCTTCAGGTCAAGAAATATGTTAAGTGTCGGTCATTGGCCGGTAGGTATACTTGTGTTTCAGAACCTGGTGGAGGGTGAAAATATGACTGATGCACACTCGTCCATCTGTGTCTGAAACCTGCCTTGTTTTCTCTATTTCGCTATTCTGGAGCCCCAATTAGGCTTCGGATACCTTAGGACCATAGGATCTTGGACACGGTATTAGTCATACTTATTCCCTGCTGTTGTTACAAGAAGAATATCCCCCCCTTCTTATAGACTGAGATGATCATTGAAGTACACCAGTCTGAGGGTACTACCTCTAATCCCCCATACACTACCTAGTACCTCCGTCACTCTAATCAGAAATTCCCTACGTCCATCCCTGAAAATCTTAGGTTGTAAACTGTGAGGTCCTGTTGCATATAATAGTTTCAGATTCAATACAGCTTTCTCAACTTGAAGGGAAGTTAGAAGACCGACATCTACATTCCATTCGGGTTCAGGCTTGATGCTAAGCAACTGAAGCGTTGCTGAGGGCCAGTTAAGCTGAGCTTCAAAGTTTTCTGCCCAATGTACTAGACGCATGTCCTGAAAGGTTATCAGCATCCCATCCATTTCGATGATGGTTCCACCCAACATCATCTCGCCTGGATCCCTAATAAGCTTAAACAGTTGTCAAGTGTTACCCAACGCTGATATCTTCTCCATCTCTCTTGCTTTCGTTACCCACCACTCATCGCTATCGATGCTAAGACTCTTGATCAACTTACTTTTAAGCTACTTTCACTTTTCATCATGGTTAGGACTAGCTGAAATCAGTTTTCTCGCATCAATCAGTTCGGATGACGTAGACCTTCGGGTGTCGGTTAGTAGTTACTGCCACGTTCTGATAAATGCTTGGCTACCGCTCCCCTAAATACAGACTTGACATTTTCATCTTCTGATCAACCATAGACAACTTTACTGTCGCCTGTTTCCTGCGACTAATGAGGTGCAGACATACATAAGCGTGTACCAGCGCGCGATCGGAGTTTAAACTGATACTCTAGAAAGAGCGGCTATCCTCCATCGATCCCCTCCAATTACGACTGATGGCAATGTAATCTGTGTTCATCTTTGGTTTGATATCGATGGATACCATATGAAACAGTATCTCTCCTGATGCCTAAAGTTATCGCTAACCGGAAACAGGTTACTATCAGAACACAAGTGCAGTAGACGACGACCATCTTCCGTTCGTTGGCATAGAATTCCATAGATACCTCCAAGATGCCTTTCCAATTGCCCCAACTCCCCTACCTGAGCGTTAAAGTCACCCGCCGTTATGATTACATCTGGACGTTTTACTTTCTGTCGTAAAATTGACAGTTTCTCGTAGAATTCATCTTTTGCATCATGAGAACTACAGTCAGTGGATGTGTAGGCGGAGATTTCGAATCGGTATTACGTAGTCTCGTAATCCTTCCTAGTTGTTACAGATCCATTCAGTCAAACAGTACATAGACG